AGAATAATATTTTTTAATTTTCAGAATTTATAAATATTATTTTAGGAAAAATATTAAACTAATATACATTGTATATAATTGTTTATAATTTTTACATATATCTCATTAATATCATGTTTATATTCTTTGAGACAATATTGAAGAAGATAAAAAATAATTTCAATTTTGTCGTTACTAAAAATTGTGTAATCAAGTGCATTCAAAATATATTAAGTACGTTGAAAGTGAACGATATAATGGAGGAACACTTTCTATTGCAAAAGTTTGGAATCTATTTTAATTTTTGTTGTTTCTTTAAAATTTAATATAATAATTGAAAATTAAACATTGACAAAAATAATAATATCGCGTTTAAGATAAATTCAATATATAATGTAATTCCTAATTAAACATATACTCACATATTACGATGCGAATGCTGTAAATTCGAAGTAATGTGAGGAAAGCAAGCTTAACGTATAAGGTTCCTAAGTATAAAAATCCGCGGTATCAGCATGCAGTGAACAGTTTATAACACAATTTTACAGAAAAAATTCTCTTAATAATAATAATGACACACATATTTTAAATTTCACGAACACGACGCGGAACATTACATTTCACGGGACACGAAAAATTACGCGCACTATTCAAATTTCAACTAACCTTATGTTCGGTACTGTCGGCAGATGTCGTCTATGTAGGAATATTTGACTTCTAATTCTAATACACGAAAAAATAAATCCTTACCAAATATTATAATCATTTATAAATTTACAATAATGTAAAATTGTTTGTAAACACACATACTATTTATTTATTTGCATTTGTTATATGAAAAATTATACGAACTATATGCATATAGTTTGATTCATTTTTAATCTATTTTACTATACATACTCATCGGAAGGTGACATCTTTAAAAATATTGTGTCTGAAAAGCGCGCCAAATTAAACGTATATAAAATAGTATTTAACAAATTATACATTTTAATTTATAACAAATCTGTAAATTATATATCGTGTAAATGTATTATATAAATTTTCTTTTCATGTTTAATATCACGTACAATATTGAAGAACATATAAACCATGTCAAAGTAGCATATTGTAAACGTAATGTTTGTCACATGTTAGAAGTGTTATGTTTAAAAATAGCCTGAAAGTGTAATATAACAAATCATGTTTTTTTGTCTAGGATTACGTTGAAAAAGAAATCAAAAAATAACGTTAGTATTATTTCATAATATATGATTCCATAATAAAATATACATTAACTAATATGGAAAATGTTAATACTTACTTTATAAAGTGAATTCATACAAGTGTCATTTTTAAAAATGACACAACGCAGTACAATACAAAAATATTATTTAACATGTTGTGAACATGTTATTGTAATAACATTACCGACACTTTTAATAATAAATTAACCAGATATAAATGACTTGATATTTACAACTTCTACAGTATTCTCATCTGATTATAATATTATTAACTTATTATCTGATCATGTTATTTCAATCTTACGCGGCAACTTTCATATTTCGGTTTTCATTAACGGTCGATTACGTAATAATTGAGCAAGGTGAAGCATAGATTATATTAGTAGCTTAAAGAATCATTGCTCGTGACGGCGTAACTCCACAATAATTGCCAAACGGGTCAGACTGCAACCATCTAGTAGCGGTATCTGAGTACATCGGTCGTCAGGAGTAAAGTTCATACAGTGATATGAGTACGTAAAACGTAAATGTATCGTTAAAATATTTATAGATTAGAATTTTTGTAATTTCCGAAACAACATCTAGCGTAATATTAACCTTATATCTGATTATATAGTTCTCTTTTTATCATTTGCCTAATATCAATTCTAGTTGGTGCCACTAATGTCAAGTTGCCACGTTTACTCACATAAATACATTGAGTTTGTTATTGCCGCGAACTCATTTGAATGTTACGGCGTTTTCGAAATACACTGAACGAATAATTTTAAATAAATTTTACCATAGATTTCATTTCTTCACATAACACTTTGATATATATATTTCTTCTTTTGTAAAAATAATATAATTTTAAATTTTTATTAAAATAGTACCTAGTGATCAAGTGGTCAATTAAGTAATATTACATTGTGTACATATTGTCATTGTAAAAATGAAGTATGTTCTTTTTAAAAGTGTACACTTGACATTGCTTCGAAAATAACGTAGATGATTTTATCAATTTGATCGGAGAATATTTATAAACGATAACGATATCGTCGTACCTTTTATCCAGGTGTATCCTACTACTTATATATAAAATTTAATTTGACGAAATGATATATTATAGCTTTTCGTCAAATTAAATTTTTTTTACCACTTAATAATGTTTCTTACTAAAATTTAATTTTTTGTCAAATTTTTTTGTTACTTCTAAAAATTGGACTATGCACGCATATTTTTAGATTTTTCTCTTTAGATTAGATATTACACGGAAAATATAATACTTTACGTTTACCAATTTTTATTTTCAAATATGAAAATTTGTATTTACTTGTAATTTTGATTTTTCGTATACTTTGGTATGATTTGACAACAGTAGCGTAAGTTGTAATACCAGTTTTTGTGGAGGAACTGGAACAACAGAGGTCACGTGTGTAGTCCAGTATCGCTTCACTTTAAAATAGCACGTACAGTTACAGTTCCACAGTGAAACGCTTCAAGCACAGTTATTTTAAAGCTTCCACCTTAGATAACACTTTTTTCCTTCTAATCTAATGATCCGCATTAAATTGGTACAAATGATATCTATTCTTCTGCTAGGTTTATACTTCCAAGTAGCAAACACGGAATTCAGCGTGGAATTAGTGCAAGTGGTGAGTACAATTGTTTATTTCAATTCAATCCTTTCGTACGTTTATTTTCACTTTCAATATTTATTTAATAGTAATTTTCATCTTCTCGCTAATTACACCATTGGAAAAATGATTTTCAACTTGACAATCATAATTATTGCTTATTAATTTTCTGTGTTAATTTCTAACACTTCATTTATAATCAATAGTAATTTTTTTCGCGTTGATAATTATTTTTAATTTTATTTCGAAATTTTTTTTTTATATTTTTATTCTTTACTTTCTAAATATTACCAGTTATTCAGACATGGAGAAAGAACACCGCGTGAGAAAGAACTATGCCCGAGGGATCTTCTCGATGTATCGGTTTACGAACCGTGGGGTCTTGCTCAGCTGACAAACGTAAGAAATAATTGCCATAATAGAAGTGAAATACGTCGTAAAGTGAAATAATGACTAGTTCAGCGTAATTTATTTCCAGGTAGGAAAAATGAGGGAATATCAAATTGGAAAAATGTTAAGAAATCGTTATGATAAATTTTTAGGAGATCTTTATCATCCTAGTGATGTGTATGCATTTAGTTCTGATCATGATCGAACGAAAATGTCCCTTCAGCTGGTACTGGCCGGACTTTACCATCCGGCTTCAGTACAAATGTGGAATGAAAATTTATCGTGGATGCCGATACCAACGCATTATATGCCAGAGAAAGTGGATGATCTTATGAAACCAGATTTATCTCCAATGTAAGTTCATGAGAAAACAGGTTCGTTTATTCAAAACAAACATGTTCGGCGCGATCGTATGAAAATATTACATAATCAAATCAAATGCTCTTTTTCTAGATACATAGAAGCTATGAAAGAAGCAAGAAAGTCGGAAGAAATTGTTAAAAAAGTATCTCCATACAAAAATCTATTCAAGTTCCTTAGTGAAAAGACTGGTCTAAATATAACTGAAACAAACCAGGCGTACGAATTATATAATCAGCTGGCAGCACAGGTGCTAGAAGTTTGTTTATTATCGTATCAATATTTAAGATTAGTAATGTAATAATTTTATGGAAACAGTCTAAACAGCAATATTTAAAAATATATATATTCTGAAATTTGCTAATTTAAGAGCTTCTGAAACTTAAAATTTTACATTTATTCAAATGATTACGCAGAAAAGTATGAATCTTGCTATACCGGAATGGTGTACCGACGATGTTTATGGAAAACTTCAAGATATCGTGAAGATTGAATATGAAATTCGTTCTCATACACCGTTAATGAGGCGATTAAACGGCGGAGCGCTAATCAGAAGGTTCATTGAGAATATCACAGTAAACGAGGAGTGTGATAATCCAAGAAAGATTTATCTGTACAGCGGACATGAAGTAAATATCGCTGCTGTTGTGAAAGCACTCAATCTTACCGAACCCGAATTACCACCCTACGGTTGTGCAATTATAGTTGAGAAATTGAGGGACCAAGCTGGCAAAGTTTATATTAAGGTAATTGTTCATGATAATATATTAAATACATTGTACTATAAATATGAATTCATTTGGCACATTACAATATCGACAATTTCGTGCTTCAACAATTATAAATTAAAAATAAAATTTCCTTGAAAAATTGTATTGTATGCTGTATCAATTAATTTTATATAAGAAAAGTTAAAGGACAACATTTCCTATTAATTAAAAGTAATTTCGTAACTCTGCATGATATCATGAGACAGCAAAAATTGTTTGATTCGTATTTCAATGTATACCTATGTATGTACAATATTTTTATATCCATGAATATCATTTTACATAAAAATACACTATTTTAACTTAAGAATATAAAGTATAAAATATGCTACAATTATTAAATATCAAATTATCTGAATTTAATTTTGCTTTTTTCAGATGCTGTTTTGGAGTGGAAGTACAGAACAGTTAAAAACTTATAAAATTCCGGGATGCGACGAAATTTGTCCACTCGAAAAGTACAAAGACATTGTAAAAGACCTCATTCCATCGGACGAAGAAGCTAATCACAAATGGAATTATTTATCAAAAGAGGAATTACATAAATTGTATGAAGAACGTATTAATCTCAATTAAATGTTTTCTAACAGTAAGATTCACATAGATTTGTACAACCAATTTAATTTATTGTAATATAAATGATCAAAGTTACTTTTAATAGCGACGTAGTAAAAAATTGTATAGTAAATTGATAAGAGTATGTATTAGGAATAGATAACGATAAATGTTGAAAACACAACGAGAATACATCTGTGAAATTATATCATTAAAAAATTATTGTATAAAAATTAA